GAACGCAGATAGCCCTCGAGTTACTTTGCCTTAGTCAATTAACCTAACTGAACTGTATAACATATAAAAAAATAACCTACATTTAAAGGTGCAATTACCTTTATTAAAGTTTGTTTTATACAAATTAGAATTTGATCTTCAAAGGGTGAAGCGTCATTAAGCCAGGGCATCTTTATGAATGTTTCCTTGTTTCTGAACAAAGGTGAGCTTGCTAAAAGGCGCCGAAACTTTGTGATGAGGCACCGTTATTAAACTGTCCCTACGTGATCAACACATGAAGATACAAGCGTTTCCTTAAGTTTCGATTTTAAATTGGCATTCGATATGGTATAATCTGAAGATTATTAAGAAAAGCATTTCAGAAACATCCCTATTAATAAATTACCTTTATAAACGGACTGCTTTTCTGCATTCTTCTATAGAGATAATACCATATACTTTTGTAGTAATTAAAATTTACACTTAAATAAAACTGTTAAAAAATGCCCTCTTTCACAACATTTTTACACTGGTTTTGTAGCAGTTGTTTGCAAACTCAGTGAAATGCTAAACTTTACATACTTATTGATTTTCATAGGATATTATATTACAAGTAATAAGCAGCTACAATTTATCACTTTATAATTCAAGATGTAATAAGTAATAAAGTTTATCATATTAACTCCATGTCCGTTAATTGCGTCTCAAGCTCCTTTATTTCCTAAGATTAACTTTATTAACAATTGGATCCGCACAGCGGCCTTTTAACGATTCTGTCCTCGGTGACAATACTTATACTGGAGGTAATAATGGCTTCATTTGCAAGTATGATGTAACTTAAGTTCTTTTCCACGTTAACAGATCTTTGCATGTTAAAGTAGATGCTGCTCCCTTACAATCGCTGATATCTTTTCTCTTTTTTGAAGCAAAAGCTTTCGTATTTTTTTTTTTTTTTAGTATGACCTGTATTAATAAATAAAAAAGACGTATGCATAAATAAGGTCAGAGCTTAGTTGAAGTTGGGACAGGTAATAAAGAAAGGAAAAGCAATTTTGTGACGATCAGGTTAAGGAAAGAAGTTCTGTTTTCTTTAGCATGTTCATTAGTTGTAAACGCGAAATTAATGATAAGGTTATGAAGGAAAGTTTTTAACATATGCTTAAAAGTTTTATGGGTACAGTAGAATTCCTATTACGCACCTTTTTTTTCAGATGTTCTTTTTTATCTGACATTCAGTAGACTTTAACTCGAAAAACTCATATTACTATAAATTATTATTACTATTGCTATTCACTCGATGTTTCGGGTGGTTTACGTTGACTTTCACGAGTCAGAGCCCTCCTTAAATTATACTGTGAGCTAAGCTCACCGTTACCTGTTTGAGCTAAACCACAAGTGTTGGCTTTATGTAGGCCCAAATGGGGCCATCTGGGAATTTATATTCAGTTAATAAACTTTACACCCTTCTTTGTACTCTGCCATACTTAAATACGTAAGGATAATTCCTCACACAGTCTTTTAGTGTCTTTTTAGTTTATGTTAACAAAGAATACCAGACACTATAGTTTTATAAGATGACTTCCTTGTAGAAGAAATTTATGAAATGGCATTATCCGGGAAATTGAAGCTGCAGTGCAAATAAATTTAAAGCATCTTTTGATCATTTCAAGAAATGCCACATTCTGAGGAATTAAGTCTAAGTTTCTTTGTTTAGAAACAGATACTTGTTATACAATAGCCACCGTATTTTCCAGACTTCTAACTGGCTGAGCCCTTCTTGTTATTTCTTACTAACATGGCACTACAAGATTAACATCTTCAGGCAAATGAAGCTATCTAAAAACGATGTGATGGCTATTTAATGATATACTAGCATACTAAAGAGCATTTCAGGAATGTCAGGGCCACTAATGTAAACGTACATTTTCCATTATACGTTACTTCGAAGATAACTAGGTAATAATATTTTATATTTAAAACCCACATCTTACATACATTTTTCGTGAACATTTTGAACTTAGGAACTTTCTTTTCCGTTGTACGATTTTTATATACGTACGTTATACGATGGCATCTTAGTTCATCTTTATTTTCTAATGAAATAATTTTACTTTATTAGTCATAAAAAGTAAATTACGCGTTGATTCCATTGCTTATTAGTTATACCTGCCTCTTCTTGCACCAAGTTTGTAATAAAATGTTGTTTTCCTTTTGCTCACCGCTCCCAGAAAGTTCGATTAACAGCTTAGTCTGGGAAGCCCTGTGTTATCCAACATCCTCCTGGTTTATACGACTGTTATTCTTTTCTCATTATGAAAACTATACTGGATTCTTGCTTATCTAAGTATTTCAAATAGTGAATAATAAATCATTTCTCTTAATAAAAAAAGATTATAAGGTATTTTCTCCCTCCTTCAAGCATGCCTTCGTGGTGTAATGGTAGCACACTCAGCGCGTATTCGAAAGGTCTAGGTTCGAGTCCCGGGGAGGTCGTTGCTCATTTTTCATATCTCCTGCTTCAAAAAAGCCGAATGTCTCTACAGTAGCGCCCGAACTAAAAGGTGATACATGATGATTCTTCATAACCAGAATTTGGCAACTGAGTCCCACCCAATCCAAGTCGCCCTTTAAAAGGGGGAGTATATGAAATACACATTCCAATTACGGGATCTCAAAAGAGTCCCGGGAGTAATTTTCTTTCCCCTTCCAGCATGCTTTCGTGGCGTAATGGTAGCACACTCTGTGTGTATTTGAGAAGTGCTGCAGGTTTGAGTTCCGACGAGGATATTGCTAATTCTTCACGTCTTCAGCATCAGAAAAACCTAATCCTAACCTACAAGCAGTTATCGTGTATTATATAATAGGCATCACATTTTTTTCCATAGAGCAGTTATATATACCAATGTTCTGGATATTACGCTGGTGTTACCTAAAATCTGACCTAAGGAAAATGTTTCCAGAATAATGCGCCGGGTTAACAGGCAGCTATTCTTCAACTGTCTGAAATATCTAAAATATCTCTATGAAGAAAGATGTTTGAAATAATGTGCTTTGTCTGTTATGGCCCGATATATTTAGAAAGGAAAAAAAATTCCATCAACTCAAGCTTAAGAAATTATTATTATTATTTTTTTTTTTTTTTTTATGCTTGCGTACTGGAAATTTTCAATGGAGAAAATTTTATGCTTTCTCCTCAACAGCAACTTGCATTCTCTTTTGTTCAACGGATTTTTAAAATTATTTCGAGAAATAGATCTATGATTTTCAGCGATTGTCAGTTTTGCCTGTTTGTTTGACAGAATTTCATGAAATAAACAATCAATTAATCTACACCGAGCTTGAGAGCCTTAAATGTTCAAAATAACTATTTTCTCATTTGTCCTACTCAAATATTCGTCATTTTTATTGCTAAATACTTCAGTTTCACTGTAACGCATTCATTATGGTGTAAGCGTTCGCATTATGAGGAGGCAGCACCACTTTTCTGTTAACCATTAATAATTGTATTATAGATTTCTGGATTATTCGTGGTTCACTGCCCAAGTTGCTAAAGAAATAAAAATTTCACTTATTAAAACAAACTAATCGCAGAGCTAATACACATGTTTTCCTTACAATGCGCATGCTTTCCTTACATTAGCAGTGAAGCTTTAGTCATTAAATGTATTCATTAAATAGCTTTTATTCATTAAATGTATACTAAATATCACAGTTAGCAAGTAAAATAAGCAATTTCTGCTTCATCAGTAAGAATAAACTTTAATAAAAGTATACTTTAATAAAAAAAACATACAGTTAATGAACTTACTGTAAAAAGGTAATAGATGTTCTGCATATTAAAACACTACAGTCTATGAGTAAATAGTTATGTACAATCTGAATGTAAAGCAAATAAAATAATTACATATTTTGTTTTGTGGAATTGAGGTTGTGTCATGTGCTTTCAAAATTTAGACAAATATTTGCATCTGAATTAGAAGAAAATATTATTGCTGTGAAAGCTGAGGTAAAACAACTAACTTAATACTGGAGGCCTGAAATCAGAGGTCTGAGACAATAAGGATGAAAGTAATCTATATACATAAATAAGAATGTTTATTTGTGTGTTTGTTCGCAATTAACTCCGCCACTACTACAGCTATCGTCACCAAACTTTCTACTATTCCTTTCTGTATCCTGAAGAAGGTTGACGCCCACTCTTTTCCAAACACAAAATAGCTAAAATCAGAGGTATTAACTGAAAACTCTGAAAACCTTAATTTTTGCACTCATTTTTTTAGAAGGCAACAGTCTCGCACGCTGGAAATAAAAATCCTGCTTAATTTCGAGAAATGTTACCACTGCTTGCTTTCAATACATAGATTCTGCTAATCAAAAATTTGTAAGTTTTACGAAATCTGTATATATAAAGCAGAATGTGTGTTTGTTTTGTTTGCGGTATTGATTTCGGATTAATTATGAAACTTTTTTGCTACATTTAATCGACTAAAACTGAATATAGCTGAAATATTGGAAGAGCTTTTACGACCATTTCATAAGAAAGACGAAAATCATTAAAAACTGCGGGCCGTTGTTGCTGATATAATGGGAGAAAATAAGTTTATTTTTCTCTGGAAATGTTTTATCAGGGTTCCATATCGCATCAGACTGAAAAATATATGACTATTAATCGCATTTTTTGCATCAATATTAGAGAAGGGTTACAGCGGTATAGTTCTCTGTGTTGTTAGATGCATTATTCTCAATCTAACTTAACTGGCATCGGGTACTTCCGCTAGTATTCGTACATTTGAACGACTCGTTTCGTATGTTTAAACATAGAACCTACTTCCTCAGCTGCAGGAGTACAAATGACTCATTTGGTTCGGCTTTTATATTTCGATTACGATTTAGGTTATCTCACAAGATACTTTTTTTCTCTTTTGTGGTTCATATTTACTTTAAAACGCTGATATTTATAGCAAAAAAATCTATTTTGTTCGCTTCACGATCAAATTTTAACTTGGATGCTTCTTTTTCAGGCCTCCTTATCACAGTACCCTCTTCACCAGCTGGGAAGTGCTTCTGCAAGAAATAGAAGTTGATTCACAGGTAAGTAATAGTCCTCGTTTTTTGGAATTTTCCGAAAATTCAAATAAAAATGTTAAATTCGAATATAACTAGTATGAAGACATTTTAAGTGTCAAGCCAAAAACCTTGCATTAAATCTCTTTGCATTCAAAAATGCAACACAGAGTATTACATTCAAGTATTACCTGTAATGTCTTATGATACTTACCTAAGTAGAATTTAGAGAATGATCTTCATATTTTTTCAAAAAAATTCGCTTTAGTACGGTACAATGATTAAAGCAGGTATACTTTTCTCACATATAGTTGGATATCGATATCAGAAACATCTTTAGCGCATTCTCTCAGGGACTTCTTTAATTCTTACTTTAAATTAAAATATTTGTGTGAGGATGGAATATTATGTTACGCCACCAAACATTTCATTAGCTGCACGAGCTGGTAAGTTACGCCACTGGATGCAATTAAAAAAGAACAAATCTTTGGAAATCCCCCTAGACAGTCTTGCGCGCTGGAGATAATTATTTTTTATCCCGTACAACGTTTACAAAAAAAAAAAAAAAAAAAAAAAAGGTACTGAATGATGATTCTTCACCACCAAGATTTGGTGATTGGGTCCGCTAATCCCCAGTCGCCTTTTAAAAGGGGGAGTATGTAAGGTACCCTCTGCATGCTTTTGTGGTGTAACTGTAGCTTACTTGCCAAGTATTCGAGACGTCCAGGTTCGAGTCCCAGCAAAGGCATTGCTCATTTTTCATGTTTCCTGATTCAAGTAGCATAATGGCTCTACAAAGTATTGTACTTTTTATTCAAAACGTTTAACATAAAATTAACTTAATTTGCACATTAGTTACATTAACTCGTACTGCAAGGTTGTCACCTACCCTTCCACTGCATTTAGTGACAGGGTAGCGCTTGCATTGTTTACGCAAACTGTAGAAGTCTAGCTGTATTGATATTAACTGCACTTAATTTGTTTCTATATTTTGTTCTTGTTGCTGAGAGGTTAAGAAAGATTTTTCATTTAAATGTATTGCAACGTTTCCTTCATTAACAAGCTTTCTGACTCATCGTAGTATCCAAACGGACGTTTTATCCACCTGTATTTAGATTTTTTTTTCTGGAAAATATTCTTTTACCATTTCGTTTTTAAATGCAAAATCTATTCCATTGTGTAATTTGTAATTGTGTCGTCTAAAATCAATTTATTTTCTATTAGAAAACTGTTTAGTTCCGCAAAGCATTAGACGTCATTCTGTTTGGCATGGGTTGACCATAACTTTTAAAATTAATCTATAACTAGAAGTATATTCATATTTTTAGTTACTAAACGCTAGTTAACTATCGCGAGTGCTTGATAATTTTCTTTATTAATTTGTGTTTTGACTACGAACCGTGGGGTTTGATTCATCGAAAGCCGGGGTCCCACGAAAGATAGTTAGAAGACCACTGATGTAGACTGATTACAGCCTCTGAGATAACAATTAATCTTTCATTACCACAAATGTTTCAGTGCTGAAAGAGAACATGTTCATCCACAATAATTTCAACCCTGAAAATTGTACTATTTTTTTTAAACGTTAGATGACGAAGTAATCACTAAGAACAACTGACGAAAATTTGCCAAATGGATGGCGAGTGGCATCATTTTCCGATAGTTGCTTCTAAAGCCTCAGCTATCCGGGTATCAATGAGATTCGTGGGATGAGATTCTTTTGAGATGGCTGGACAGCATCAAACTATTCGACGGAACAATATCTGGCCAGTGGTAACTAAGCTAACAATGTGGAAGACGGGGATCGGCAATTGGCGATCATGACTCGGTTGAAACCAGCAGAACATAGGGGTAGGGTTCGGCGAGCCAACTAGCGCAGAAGATCGTAGAATATGAAGTAGCCTAAAGTTCCAGTCACATTATGTTTTACGCTACGAGAGACTTGACGTCGTAAGGGACAATTCTCAAAACCCGCACAGTTCCAGGAAATCCATATAGCTAGGTTACCATTTTCACTTACTACAAAGACTTGAACGCCACACAGTAATCGATTGTCGCTCAGATTGGGATCACGGGATCCTTCAAAAGCAGAAATTTCGTCTGATTGGTTGATATCTACCCGGAACAGAGCTGCAGCCGAAACATTTTCGTCAAGTTTCAAAAAATCCCGCGTAGCCGGTACATCGCTTCCATAGCTAGGCGGGACTTCGCTTCCAGTGGAGCTCTTTTACTAGGAATCCTGTCGTTTAAACCAGTGCTACCAGAATCTGGTTTCTCAGAAATGTCCCATCTAGCAGTGACAGTCGCCAGATCTGATAAGGACCTAAGAACTAACAGATATGAGCAAAAGCTTCGCTTCTAAAATCAAGATGATAACGCATGCATTGTAACTGCACCGATCGTCTTGGGATGAATTGCTTATGGTTCTTCATAAATATTTTACAGCACATAGTGGCGCCTAAAAGGCGTAAATCACATAAAACTCACTGAAAACGTAAAATGTCCAGAATATGGTTTTTCTGGGAAAAATTAAGTAGGCCACGAAAAACTGAACAAGCTGGATCGAATGTATGGCCTGCGGGTCTACCAATTTGACTTTGCGCGTTGTCTCTCTCAGCTGACGTTTCAATCATTCATGTACTGCTAAAACTTAATCACTTCTACTTCACGGAAACTTTTGATCGTCGTTTCAATAATTGATTTAGCTTTCTTGATTGTTTAATCTATTTTTACTGTAATTTGGTTGATGGAAGTTGCTATTTTACTATCTTCATAAAATTATGGAGTTCCTTCTGCAGGGAAAATTAAGATTTTTTCCATTTTGGAACCATACGATTCTTGACTGGAATTTTGAGTAATTCTTTTTTTTTCAATTTTTCTTTTACTCTAAAGCTGGAAAAGTGGTTGTTTTTTTTTCCCCAGATCTGATGTTTTTCTCATATTTTTCTTTTTGTAGACTAGACATCCTCTACATGAGATAACATGGGTATCTTCATAAAATAGACAGTATGGTTTATCTTCTGGTTTTAAAATGCAGATTATTTCGATAGGTTTTTTTTTCTTTGTGTGTGTATGTATTTTCTGCAACATTTAGGGATAAGAAAATGAGGCAGCGTTACTTTTCTGCGTAAAGAAGTCAAGATTGCCACATTAAATCTGATGTATTTCTACTATTTCGAAAAAGGACTATTTCTTCTATTTCGAAAAAACGGTATTTCTTCTCCTCCATTCCAAAAAAAAATCATACAAATAAGTTTTTCTCCTGAAGAAAGAAAATCAACCCCTTACGCTTAAACGCCAACCATTAATAACCCTTTTTCCCTTTAAAAGATTTCCTAAGGAATTGGAGGAGGGAAAAAAACACCTTGCGACCTTCCTTTCGCAACCAAGCTTTAAAAGTTGTCTATAATGTGACTCTACGAATTTCAAAGATAAACAAATAAAAGCATATTTAAATGTAAATAATTTTAAAAAATTAAACTTTTAAGCAAATTGCATATCAATTTCAACTCGGTAAATTAATTACTTCTATCTTTAAATGCCAATACTACTCAAATCTTATAGTATTAAATACAGAGTTTCTTTCTAGAAAAAACCTTTTTGCTGACATTTTATGACAACCGCACGCTACGCTTTAAGATAACAGAAATCACTTACATTAATATTAAAGAAGAAAGTTATTATTTTAAGCAGATTTAAAGCTCTGGATCTAAATAATTCATCAACAAATGCAGAAGAAAATTAGAATAAAATTTAATTATCATAAAACAATCTCAAGCACCTCGAATTTCATACAGGCATATATATTTAAATAGATTTAAGTTAATTAAACGTTATTTTACCAAACACTTTATAAGAACCATCGGCAAACGTTCTTGTAAATCTTTTAATTTATTTTCTTGTCAAAAGATTGTAACTTGTAAGACAGTGACTTTTTTGTGGTTTGATCTGCTCGAAAGCCTTACAGAAATTCAAAAATTTTTGACGTATATATAGAGGTTGTTGCATTGCTGTTTTACAATTTTACCTGATTATAAAGTGGATAGTAGTGTACAGTATGTATTGTAGTGTTACATAATCGCATAGTATTTCCAGGAGATATGAAAATAATTACCTAAACAATCACCGAAAACTTTGACTACGAAGCAAAGAATGTTTTGGTCAAAATTGGCAAAGATATGTCAAACATTCTTGTATTACCAAGAAATCAAATATTTACGAAATAATAATCGACTTTAAGTGAAACATCGTCTAACTGTTGTAACGAGAAGTATTGACGGGAAACGGAAATGGCAAACTAACGAACTGCAAAATATATTCGATTTTCAGACCTTACATTAGTAATACATCAGATACTTGGAAAGGTAATGATGCGTTAAAATTATTTCTTATAGATTAATCATTAGACCTCTTTTCCGATGAAAACATTTTCTAAATGGCAGTAGATTTCTGCAACTACTCAATTGTTATAATATAAGAAAAACTGTTACCTTCGGCTTGCAATGACACAAAATAAACAGCTTTTTGAAATGGAAATATGAATTGGCAAACTATCAAGTGGTTTTAAACCATTTCCGATGCCATTTGTCTCCAACGAATAAGCAGCTTTAATGAAATTTAAGGAATTGGATTTTTTAATATTATTTCGTTCTTTCTTTTATTTGATCCTTTAATTAAAAGTGCCAGAAAACATGTAAGAAATGCTTTCTGACACTTCTAATTGAAGAACTAAATGAAGGAAGGAACAAAACAATATTCAGATTTATAAAATAATGATATTCTTCTGGCACTTTAATTTTGTGACACTTCTAATTAATTCTTACTTCTGGAAAGTTGAATTCCATGGAGAAATTAATTGTTATAAGAGCAACTAGCTTATTGCATAAAATGTGTGCATATGCACTCTAACCATAGAGTGCATATACAATAAACGGAAACTATGCATGTCATGCTTGTTCTGCTTAATGTATGAGGCATTTTCTCCCTCTTTTCTCCATGCCTTCACGGTGTACTAGTAGCGCGCTCGG